AGTCCAGATATTCTATTAATATTGAGAACTACTCTTCAATGATTAAACTCAATAAGCCTTTTCTTGTAGCAAAAGAAAATCTATTTATGCTTACAGGTTATTTAAGACAAATCATCTTATTGTTAGGCTTATTTCTCTTATGTTGTAATTGAAATAGAATTATCTTTTTTTACTTTTTTCAGAAGTTTATAAAATTGGTTTATTTCCTTATTCTGCACNGATAATGAATTTTTATAAAGTTCATTTAAATTGGAAATTTTACAGTTTAAATTTCCGTTGTGAGAAAACATCTAAATCTTGTGAACTGAGTGCTAACTTCAGTGTAGGATGATATACAGATAAAAGAACGGATTGTTTTTACAGATTTATCTTCTCAGTGAATGAATTTAGGAAATTATTTATAAATTTTGACACTTCAATGGCCATCATTAACTAAAAGGATTCCTATATATATAGTCTGTCTATCTGGCTGACAAAAATACTTGAAATGGATTGCAACAGAGCTCTATACAAACTTTATTTGAAGTGTCGTACCATCTTTTAGGCAGCTAGAGCAAGTTGTACAGTATACTTACAGACTATAGACTAAAGAAACGGTACAGTACAACCGAATCATCCCTTTCAATAATGAGATTAATGAAATAGATGTGACAATAAAAAAGAAACGTGAGTACTGGGTTATTTTAAAACTGTTCCAAATAATTTAACAAAACTTACTATTGAAGATACTAGCAGGTTTTAACTTAACAGTGAATTTAACAAAACTTACTATTGATGATACCAGCAGGTTTTAACAATGAATTTAACAAAACTTACTATTGAAGATACTAGCAAGTTTTAACAGTGAATTTAACAAAACTTACTATTGAAGATACTAGCAGGTTTTAACAGTGGATTTTCTATCATAGATATTTTACAAGTTTTTGCACCATTGAATTCTAACTATGTGAGTTAGTATATATATTCAAAACTCAGAGGAATAGACCCTTTCATCTAAACTTTACAGTTTTAGAACAACGTCACAATATATGTTAAATTTTTAATCAAATAATAAAATGGTTTAAGAGATAGTATACTAGAGGTTTATGATGTTCTGGAAAACTGAAAGCTGGTAAAATAAGAAAACTTGAGGATCTGGACATACAGGGTGTCAGACTAAACAAGACAGTTTGGAGATGATTTCAAGCAGGGCTTGGGATCTGGATCCGTTGGATTTGCAACATTTTGGCTTCCTGGATCAGGATCCTAGTAGTAAAAATATCTGGACATTTAAACATGACAGTATCAAAACAAGGTTGCTCAAATTATCAACTTTTCATAAATTTTCAAGAATTCGATTTAATTTGTTAAAATATTAGATTTAAAAATACCTTTTTTGTTGATTTAAAAAAAATATTTTTCAAATTTAGATATCCTTTCATATTTTGAAACTTAAAGTTTAATATTATCAAAACTCTGAAGAAGTTCCATATTTGTCAACAATAGACTTTCAACAATAGATGGTTTAGGATGTCCTATATTTCAGAGTGTTCCATTCAGTTCTGTGGGAAATTTTAGAAAATTAGTTTTATTCTGGTTAAGGAGGTTTGGATAAATTGGCCTAAAATAAAAAATCCCATACTCAAAAACCTTTAAAAAATTCAATTTTATTCTTAATTTTTGCTCAAGCAACTGTACCCTATACCCTATCCATGAAAAAAGTGAGAGTGATGTAGAACAACAAAATAGAACACGCCATTAACCTGGCACTCCTCCCCCCTCAGTTTTTTTAAAAATCTTAGATGATTTGTAATGAACCATTTTTTAGTAGTATTGCGTGTCCGTCCCTTAATACATTTTTTAGGGTCACCCTGTGTAGAAGAGATGGATAATGGATTAAAAGCTTCTTGGAGAAAACTTGGTAAGTGAATTAAACCAAGACCTGGAGATTGATATGCAGTGGAAACTTTTGAACAGACAGAATGAGTTTAACTACTAAATGACGAGTTTAGCTTAAGAACAGACTTAAAGGGACAAACAGGCTATGAAAGGTATTGAACTGAGTATGCAGTGTTTTGGACAAATTCTTTAGAAAATTAGGATTAATTTGAGACATAAACTTTTTAAAGATCTGTAAATCCTGAGTTTGAGCGCAAAGTCAACGTTTAAAATCGTTTTCAGAATTGTTTTTTTGTTATTAAATAACGACGACAAAAATGTAAACAAAATTCTACAGTACACTAATTAGTTGTTTTGGAACAGGTTGAGAAAATAAAAATTAATCTTATTATCGAAAGTAAGTAATCTTGTTCCATTATTAGTTTCTATTTTCTCATTATTTTAGTTTCTCATTATTCACAAAGATTTTCTGCAGATTTTCTGGAATTATTATTGAAAAGACGACATTTGAAGAATTTGTAGAAAATAAGAAATTCAATTTAATGATGAAAACGAAATAATTGGTTCCAGCATTAATTTATGAACAAATTTCTTTTGAGAAATATATTCCTAACCATCTAATTAGTTTACTGTATAATTTTTTTTTATTATATCATAATTTGTGACCGAATATCATTTTTTGTTATTTAATATTTTAAACCGATTCAGAAAACGTATCTACCCAAATTCAAGATTTTGAACGTCGACTTTGCGCTCAAACTCAGAAAATATACATCGTGGAAAAATGTTATATGTCTCAAATGAATCCTAAAGAAATTGTCCATAACCTGCTTACTCAGCTTAACTACCTTACACAGCCGGTCAAAAATTCAAAAAACAAATCAATGTATACTGTCTACGGGGGGGGTGTCCACTCTAAACATTGTTCCAGACTGTGTATAGTGATTAATTAAGTGTCTAGAAAACTGGGGGAATAATGAGTTTCTTTAACAATAATTAAAGGAAAGAAAACTAATTTGTCTCCGCTGCATGCAACTATTAATTACAGTGCATAGGGTGCAACAGGTACTTGTACTGCTTACATGAATGTACCATAGGAACTTTAAGCGTACTTCCAAGGAGAATTGAATACAAGAAGGGGGCAATAGGGTTTCCGTACACTTTGCTGTGACGTTTTTGGACTGCTGGAGAACTAGTTTTTGCGTAACACAATAATAAAGGCAGCCGATCGAATGTAAACAACCATGAGTTAGTATACGGTGAATCTTCATCTGACGCCAGAGATGCACCAAATGTCTTTTTATCATTTGTGTTATTGTTAAAAATCTTTATTATGGTTGTTACGCAAAAACTAGTTCTCCAGCAGTCCAAAAACGTCATAGCAAAGTGTTCGGAAACCCTATTGTCCCCTCCTTGTATTCAATTCTCCTTGAAGCGTACGATATAAATGTTAGAGCTGTTCCCTCAAACCAACAAAATTAAACCTTTTTAGAAAAATATTTGTCCTGAGGTAAGAAACATATATGTTCCAGTATGTATAAAAATCTGCAAACGTGAGTAGTAATATCAAACTTATTGACATTTTCCGTCATCCAAATACTGCCAATACTATACAATTCTAACTAAAAACTAAATTATGAAAATTTTCTGTGAACCATACAAAACATCAAATTTAGGGAAAATCTAATGTTCACTGTAACATTAAGTTCAAGCTAAAATTACTAGTATTTTTGACATTTTAAAAAATAATCTACAAAACATAAAATGCAAGCTACAAATACTATTTTTCAAACCTAAACTTACAAAAATTCAACCTAAACTTACAAGTGTTGCTGACAAATTAAATAATAATCTAACCAAAAGATAAAGTTCGAGCTAAAATTAATTGTTATCATACAAAAGTTACAAACATTTTCTATGCAGGAGTGCACTACGTTTCACTCGGTTACCATGGACCCATCATTGCACCCCCCCCCCCTTGGGAAAATCCTGGTTGCGGGCCTGGAGATATGCACTGTGCAATGAGAGTTCCCTGGAAAATGAGTTGCTAGTCCCTTAACTCGATAACTTTCAAAAAGCAATTCAGCATATATTATGATTGATATTTCATCTGTCCGATAGAAGTTTAGAGAACACAAGAATGAGATTGGGGAAATAGAATTTGTACGAGTCTAAAGATAAAATATCCCCCCCCCCTATTATTTGGATTATATGAAGTAAAAAGTCAGTAAAAAAGGTCATTTTAAAATTGGGCCTTTGTTTAATTTCAGAAAATGTTTAATTTCTAAACCTTACTTTGTAATAACTCTCTCGGAATCAAACTGTTCAAATGCATAAATTAAAATATGTTGATAAAATTTTGAAATTATGAAACTTTTAAAATCTTAAAAGAGTATATAAGTAATAAAAAGGATAAATACTTATATAGTTGCACATTTTGATTTAAATATTTGAATTTTTTATCTCTCTAAAATAAGACATTTTTTGATTTTTTGGAATGTTATCCCCCCCCCCACCTCCCCTCCTCTTTTTCCTACTTGCAAAATTTCCCCCATCCCCCTATAGCAAAATCCAATCTTCTCAACAGTTTAAACTTCAAAAGATGGTTTCACTACTTCCTAGATATGAATTTATATAGAACAGTCAAATTGGAGAAATTCTAAATGTTGAGAGAATAAACCTAGCGAACCATCAGTAAAAGTTTTTAGTAATTTTCCACTTATAAATGATGGAATAAGAAACAGAATGATTGACATCTTCTATCTTTCTTTAATCAGAAAAACCATTAAGACAGCAATTTATATTACAATTTTCCCTCAGGTTGAGCATTTTTTGTTGTCTACTGCAGTTATTCGAATCTTTTGTAATTCCCAGTGATCCTCCATGATTATGTATTGTAAGTTGCACACATTAGATATTGAGATCAGTGCATTGCATATTAGTACTATTTCACACAACAGTTTTTACCACTAGACATTGAACATCTCTGCTGAGAAATAAAATATAGCAAAATAAAAAAATACCCAAAGCTACGTTCAGTATAAAAGATAAACCTCTACTGCAAACTTTGCAATATTATGGTATATGCATTGAAGAAGGAACATTTGAGTACACTCCAACGATTTCTCAAAATTCAAAAATATATTTCCAAGATGAATGCGACCGTTACAAAATTTTATTTCCTTGCACATTTCGCTGGTTGTTGATTAAAATTTTCTCTTGACGTATTTTCTCATCTTTGAATGCCGCGGCATTTAGTTTGCGCTCAACACGCCGCTCTCGCCGGAACTCTTTCAGCTGAAACAAAAACAAGTTATATTCAATCTATACATCTTTGAAATATGGCTTCTGTTTCTTTTTATCCAATGCATGCCAGAACTGCTTAAACGTTTATTTTTGCAGCATAATTCATTGAAATTACTAAATAATCTAGGAAAAGAAAAAACCGACGTCACAAAATCTTATCTTTAAATGAGTTCATTTCAGAATTGAAGAAGCTTGTTCTTCAAGTATCTCAAAACTATCTCATAAAAAAATAAATCTTGTATAATTCCAGTAAAAAAACAGAGTAATTTTACATTTTATTTGCTCTAGGAATTTTTTTCTCTCATTAATGGCATTCTTTTATTTTCTTCACATTATGCTCTGATCTTAATCCTCCTCTCAAAACATTCCATAATTTTCTTGTATTTAATCAAATATTATGGAAACAAAAGAAACATTTTTCGAAAGTTTTCGTTAAAAAAAATGATAAATTCTTCCAAATTAGTTTTTATCGAATTTCTGGACACAATTCTGAAAGAAGAAATTTCTTATGACTCCAATAAGATGGTGTATTTTTCGACCTACGAAAATCCGCTATACTCCACTTCTGACCTACGACAAATCCGTTATACTACACATCCGACCTACTAGCACGTTGTTTTACAATTGCTATATGGACTTGTGGCCACAGCGCTCACCTGCTAGCCTGTCCTAACCTAACCCTCAAATTATACAAAAATAAACAGCTGGGATAGGTCCGTTATTGCAGAAGGACGGAAAGTTAGTAGGTCAGAAGTTCAGTAGGGAAGATGTTGCGTACAGACGATGTAAAATTACTCTCCAATTAATTAAATAAAACGAGTGACGACATGAAATATAGATTAAAACGCCGGGAAATAACTAACGTTTTCTAAAATTCTACAATAATCAATTGCCGAAGAATTGTTATGAGTATTTAAGATTTCGCTCACTCCATAAAATCTTGGAATTCCACCAAAAATAAATCAGATAAATCATCAACAGAAACCTGAACTTGTTAATTTTTAATAAGATTATTTTTTTTTTTAAATGAAGGTTCAAAATAAAACAACAATATTTTGTATTCTCCCTTTTATGTTGTTTAGAATTTCAATTTGAAATATTCATTTTCTCTGGTTTGATGAAACCCTTTTTCTTTCATATTTTTCCCAATTTGATTTGATTTTCAAATCTCATTTAAACTTAATTAAAACTAGTGGAAGTTTCTCTACTTCAACAGGAAAATTAATCCAAATATTAATTAAGATAAAAAATAAAAATCTTGTGTCAACTTTTATCCCTACCACAATAGTTAAAAAAAGGAATCCTAGAGTAATAAAGAGAAAAAAGACAAAAAGACTTTATTTAATTTTAAAATTAATTTCACTTTTTCTATGGTTTTTTTGCAGTTTTGTGCTATTCCAAATATTTTTTTTTGACATACTTTTCAACATAAAAAAAAATCCTCCCTTACACCCTAACCAATAAAGTTAGAAGTCTAACTTTTGTTTAATCTATCTAACTCAACTCTAAGGAAAAAATTATAGGGGTGGGGGGTGGAAAATGCCCCTCCCCCCACCTATATTTGACAAAAATAGTCCAATCGGGATAGGTTTTATGCAACAAAAAAAGGACAAACTGCAGTAACATATCATGAGGATGCAATAATAACAAGGTGGCATGAAAAATGTGACTTTGTCAAACTATCAAATTTAACTAGTTTAATTATTAATTTTCGTACAAATAATAAAATGATAACGGTTTAATTATAATTGTTTGTATATTTCTAGGTCTAAACACTCGAGAAATAGCTTACCGCGGTCTTTCTAGCTCTTTTTTCCTCAGGCGTTTCATGCTTGTTCCGTATAGATAATACTGACACTCTAAAATACAAGTTCCGTATAGATAATACTGACACTCTAAAATACAAGTTCCGTGTAGATAATACTGACACTCTAAAATACAAGTTCCGTATAGACAATACTGAAACTCTAGAATACAAGTTCCGTATAGATAATACTGACACTCTAGAATACAAGTTCCGTGTAGACAATACTGACACTCTAGAATACAAGTTCCGTATAGATAATACTGACACTCTAAAATACAAGTTCCGTACAGATAATACTGACATTCTAAAATACAAGTTCCGAATAGATAATACTGACACTCGAAAATACAAGTTCCGTATAGACAATACTGACACTCTAAAATACAAGTTCCGTATAGATAATACTGACACTCTAAAAAGTAAGCTTAGATAGTTTTTAAATCACGAAATAAAAAAATACAGGAAATATAATAAAAATTGATATAAAAAAATGGTTAATCCGTAAATGAAACAATTCAATTTGTAAGAAACCTGAATGGCTTTCTTTCGAGCACTCCCTCAGGTTGAGCATTTTTTGTTGTCTACTGGNCCCCCCCCTCCTCCTACCTGCTTGCTACACTCTGTAGATCATCTTCTACAGGCGTTGAAGTCTCTAGATCAAGCTGACGAAGAGCAGCAGCGGTCAGTCCACGCCCCAGGGTATCCTGTAAAATGAACAATTAGTGTCAAAAGGAGACGAAAATATATATCCTTTAAAATCTGCTTAAATTATTAAAGTTTATTTTAAGAAGACTTTCAATTTTAAAATATATCTGATGAATACAGTTCAATTTCATATAGTTCTTTTTTAAGAAATCATTTATATTCTTTTTATACTTTTCCCTTTCCCATTTATCGTTTCCCCTAAACCTCTTAGCAATTTTACAATTTTCCTAAACACTTTCTGTTTTATTTGATCTCATTCAAAAAGTACAAACATAGATATGCAACATTTTCTTTCTTTATTTTACAAAAAAATCTAGGAAAATACAATTCTGAGAATCCTTGAAAGTCTCATATTTGGTTCTGACACATTTCCTAAAGTTAGATTGCGTAAATAAAAGTGTACCTTGGGGAGTCCTGTCTTAGAGGAGAGCTGAATTATATTTCGTCGTTCACTGGACAACATTTCTTTCAAAATATACAAAAACATTTCTTTATTTTTATTTTTCTCTTGGAGTCCTGTCCTATCCTGTCCTTTTATTTTGTTTTCTTAAAATCTATTTGTTGGTATATATTGTGTAGAAGATACTGTTATTACCCTATATAGAATGGAAAATTCAATTAAACGGTTAGAAATGTTACCCCGCGTTCAGAAACTATTCTATATTTATTTATTCCACTAATTTGAAATTTATGTAGCTGTGTTCAATGTTCCAGATTTAATTGTTTTCCATTGAACGTTAAACCTTCAATTTACAGTAATTTCAGGAGCATTGGTTGGAACTCCAGGCAGGGACGGAAATAAGAGGGAAGAGATGAAAAGAGTTCAAAAGTTTTTAACCTCTCCGGGGGTGGTGGGGGGGGGGGTAATGGGATTATTAATACGCCCCCCCTACCATTATCCATATTATTTTTATTTTTTATTTTTTAGCTGCTCCTAATTATTTTTTTAATAGTATCTACATTTTTACGGAAAATGTTTGTGAGGCGGGCACATACTTTAGTGAAGGAGCTGAGAAGAAATAAGAAATGGAATAAAATTAAAGGACATACTATTGAATAGAAACTATGTCAACACAGGGAAATAAAGCTAAGCAAACATTCACCTCCACTCAACTATTCAATTATTCTATTGATATACCGCTCCACTACTGTTCTATTAAATTTTCTACTACTTTAATCTATCCCGCTGGTTAATTTTTTTTAAATGTTAAAACTTTGAAGTATTTGATTGATCTGAAAGATAATGTTCCTGATAAGTTTAGGATGGTTATACAGGTTTGAATACGTTGACAGTATGGATTCACAATCCCATCTTTCTTTAGGGTTTAACTCCTCCAACTTCAGGCAGAATCAATCTCATGGAACTATTCAGCGAGGGAGGGAAGACAAAACTGTGCCCATTTCTCATCCAGACCGCAAATGACGTTAAAAACTCAACGTTATCTTCAAAACCATTAAAAACGCCGGACGGTTATAAAGGTTAGGACTGGCCGAACAGCCGAGTTTATGGCATGGATGATAAATGTGTGGGATATGCCTTCCCTCCCTTATTTAGCCGATGGCATGCAAAGCTGGAATTTTAAACGGACAGAGTTGTTTAAACTCCTCCTCCAAGTGCTTTAACCGCTCCGTTATTGGTCAGAACTTCTAGATCTGACAACAGTCATTAAGTTTGACTATCTTATGTGTTTTTTTTTTACAAAAGAGAGATTAATCAAAATGGCTCATTCCATCACTTTAATAAGAACCTAGAAATAATGTTTCCGTTTTATTCAAACAAATTATTCTTTTTGAAAGATAAATTGTGTGACATCCATTTAAAATTTCTCAGGTAATTTTTCAAGTTTAAAAGTGAAGAGTTAGAAAAGTTTAACAGAACAGAGTTGAATATTTGATTAACGTTTCATCATTCAACATTTATTGCAAGAAACTTTCAAAAGGAAAAAGTACTATTTTATTATTGATTGATTGAATTCCTGAAGTGCAATTAGATCGTCTGCATCCTCGGACTCCTCCTAAAATATTATATAATTAATTCAATTTCGCGTGAATTTTTATCCCGCAATAAGCTCTCAATGACATGATCTTGGGTGAATTTTCTTTTATATTTCGTGGATTTTCATAAAAAAAATCGCACATGTTTATGGGACTTGAATTGAATAAGTTTATGTAACCAACAGTCTTGTTCAATTATTTCGGAAAATATGTTATTTTTATTTTTTTGTTTGTTTTGGATAAAATTCAAGTTTTTTTAATTCATCACCACGAGCAGGATTAAAAACTAATTTTAATCCTAAAGAAAAAAAAAGTAAAAATTCCAACAAAAAAAAACTTGCTCCGCATGATAACACAAGGCAGTTGCATAAATAGATAAATAATACTAAAACACAAAAAAAAAGAAAATTATTCAATCGTAAAAATAAAAATATTTGTTGCATAATTCCAAGAGCAGAATCCGTATTTCTAATATTTTGGCTACCTGGGTCCAGATCTGCTAAAAAAAAAATACGGATTTAAAAAGGCAAATATCAAAACAAAATTTTTTTTTTTTTAATAATTTGGATTGAAAGCATGAATTTTAGGGCATCAGCAACAAGCATTTACCCCAGAAATTTGCTTAGTTTTTTAAAAGAGTGCTAATATACAACTGGCCTCGTGGTTTGAATCCAAATCTGAGATAAGATGATGAGACCAGGGGGCGGAAACGTCATGTGTGTGTGTCTTTACCAAAAGAGTGTGTGTCAGTTTAAAGTACCGAAGGTGTGTACTGTAGGTTTATACAGTACGTAAGAATCTCGGTATTTGTACAGCCTAGGAGAGTACATTTGTTTATTGTTAATTGTTTACTTAGAAATAAGTTTAATATACATGTAATATATTATTTACATATTTAAGTCAACACTGTAAAGCCAAATTTTCATGTAAAGAATATAATTTGATTAAAGTTTACAATAAACTACTCGTTATTCAAGTTTAATTATAATCGACGACATTGTTCTACAATTTCCTTGACTGTAGTCATGTTGTGTGTCTGTATCAGAAGAGTGTTTGTAAGTTTACTGTACTGGTCTGCAAAGCAGTGCGACTGGCTTTCTCTTGCCGGACCAGCGCCATTTCCTTTCCCTATATTCCTGTTCCCTGGATGAGACTAGAATTTTACAAACTGGTCTGAGCTTGAGTAATTGTCTGAAATCCCTTATTCCCACTTTAATCCCACACAACCTAGATTTATCATCTTTCTACAAAAAGTTCTAGTGCAAATGTCGAGCTATGAAGCGTCGTAGGACTATATATAATACATATTAACGTCCGACTTACAGAAGTCTGGCTTAAAAAATTTGTTGTTAATTTTTGTTTTGAAAGCATCGGACTTGACTTGTTTGGAATTACATTCGTCAGGTTAACAAAGTAAGACTTTAAACGTTCAGTTTGAAAAGTTGGACGACATACGTCGCATTGTAAAAAACTAAAAACTTTTTTCATAACAAACATAGTAACATCTTCTCAACAGATTCTGACATAATCTGCATGTGTCGTGACACCTTAGAATATCATATCTCATTCTCCCCCTCCCATACCCCCTGGATGATTAATGAAAAGTTAGAGACAGTAATCCGCTTAAATCTAAGTGGAAAAGTGGAGACATAAAAGATAGATAGATAGTAAGATGGGAATGACTAAAACGTTGGTACAGGATAAATATATGGATAGACAGAAAGTTAGATAGCTAGATAGATAGAACGATAGATAGGAAGTTAGGTAGGAAGATAGATAAATTTAGATAGGCAATTAGAAAGATAGAGTCAGGATAAAACTAGATTGTCTCAGGTCATGAAAAAATATATTAGTTCATCTGTTTGTCTGTGTGTGTTTGTCCGATTAGAACACAGGAACCTCCGGACCGATTTGCCTCAAATTTTGATTGGGGAACTCGGGAATGTTCTAAGCTTGGTTAAGAGATTCAAACTTGAGTGGGTTGACTTTTAAAGCAAAAATGTAGTTTCAAGGTAAAATCGTTCAATTGCGGGTAAACGGCGGGGGTACTACTAGTAACCCGGGCAGCGCTAGGTTCCCAAGCTTGTTTCAAGTTAATTACCTAATTTTAAAATGTTGCTAAAAACAGATGTATAGATGTATTTCTTCCAATTTTCCGTAATTGGTAGTTACAAGTTGCATGAAAACCTATCTCAGGAAAAATAATCCAAGAAAAAAAATAATGACTAAAATTTATGGAAAAGAAGGAAAGTTTAAAAATGTCTCTTTCAGCGCAAAATAAAATGTATTTATAAGGTAGACGCTGACATTCTTAAAATTTCTCTTTCTTCGCAATATTTGTGTAGTAAAATTACAATAAACTTCTGAAAAGTTCAAAATTTGTCAACAATAGAACTTTTAACAATACATTTTGAGAGAGTTAGATTCTGATCAAAATTGCGGAATACCAATTCAACTTTCAATCTTAAAGAGACTGTTAACGTCAAATATTAACCTTAAGGAGACAGTTAACGTCAAATATTAACCTTAAAGAGACTGTTAACTTCAAATATTAACCTTAAAGAGACTGTTAACGTCAAATATTAACCTTAAAGAGACTGTTAGCTTCAAATATTAACCTTAAAGAGACGGTTAACTTCAAATATTAACCTTAAAGAGGCTGTTAACTTCAAATATTACCCTTAAAGAGACTGTTAGCTTCAAATATTAAAATTAAAGAGACTGGTAGCTTCAAATATTAACCTTAAAGAGATTGTTAACTTCAAATATTAAAATCAAAGAAACTGTTAGCTTCAAATATTAACCTTAAAGGGACTGTTAACTTCAAATATTAACCTTAAAGAGACTGTTACAGTCAAATATTTACCTTAAAGAGGCTGTTTACGTCAAATATTAAACTTAAAGAGATGTTAACGTCAAATATTAACCTTAAAGAGACTGTTAACTTCAAATATTAAAATTAAAGAGACTGTTAGCTTCAAATATAACCTTAAAGAGACTGTTAACTTCAAATATTAACCTTAAAGAGACTGTTAACTTCAAATATTAACCTTAAAGAGGCTGTTTACGTCAAATATTAACCTGAAAGAGACTGTTAACGTCAAATATTAACCTTAAAGAGACTGTTAACGTCAAATGTTAACCTAAAAAAGACTGTTAACGTCAAATATTAACCTGAAAGAGACTGTTAACGTCAAATATTAACCATAAAGAGACTTTTAACTTCAAAACTTAACCTTAAAGAGACTGTTAACGTCAAATATTAACCATAAAGAGACTGTTAACTTCAAATATTAACCTTAAAGAGGCTAATTACGTAATTTCAAGTATCCTTAGTTTTAATATGATTTATTTACGAAGAAAATTGTTAGAATTTGACATTTGTCAGAAAGAAAAATTTCCCCATTGCGCCAATAAGGGTTAAAATGGGGTGTCACTAACCTAAATCATGCTAAATTATATATGAAAAACCATAATATATTACTAAATTAATAGTCCTTATTGTTAAAAGACGAATGTTGTTCTCTTGGACCCCCCCCCCTCTCTGATAAGATAAATCTATCGTGAATACACTATTTTAGCTGAGATTAAGCTAAATTAGATAGTCTACGTTGGTGGATCTTATTTAATTAGAAATTACCAAATCTGTTACCTGAAGGGTAATCAACCTTCTCATTGCTTCTTTCTCTCTTTGTATATTCTGCCTTTCTGTTCTTCTATACTCCTCAGTCTCATTCAACAGCTGTTCCATCCTCTCCCCTTCTCCATCTACTCCTCCTTCTATATCTTCTCCTTCCAGGGCACCCTCATCCAGCTCACCATACTGGTCCATAAACCTAGATAGTACTGGTCCATAACCATAGATAATACTGGTCCATAAACCTGGATAATACTGGTCAATAAACCTGGATAATACTGGTCCATAAACCTAGATAATACTGGTTCATAAACCTGGAAAATACTGGTCCATAACCCTAGATAATACTTGTCCATAAACCTAGATAATTCTGTTCCATAAACGTAGATAATACTGGTCCATAAACCTAGATAATAATGAACCGTAAACCTAGATAATACTGGTCCATAAACCTGGATAATACTGGTTCATAAACCTGGATAATACTTGTCCATAAACTTAGATAACACTGGTTCATAAACCTGGATAATACTAGTCCATAAACCTAGACAATTCTGTTCCATAAACGTAGATAATACCGATCCATAAAGCTAGAAAATAATGAACCGTAAACCTGGATAATACTGGTTCATAAACCTGGATAATACTTGCCAATAAACCTAGATAATACTTGCCAAAAAACCTAGATAATACTGGTCCATAAACGTAGATAATATTGGTCCATAAACCTGGATAATACTGGTTCATAAACCTAGACAACACTGGTCCAAAAACCTAGATAATACTGATCCGTAAACCTAGATAATACTGGTCAATAAACCTAGATAATACTGATCCATAAACGTAGATAATATTGGTCCATAAATCTAGATAATACTGGTCCATAAACCTAGATAATACTGATCCATAAGCCTAGATAATACTGGTTTATAAATCTGAATAATACTGGTCAATAAACCTAGATAATACTGGTCCATAAACGTAAATAATATTGGTCCATAAATCTGGATATTACTGGGCAATAAACATAGATAAAACGTAGATAATATTGGTCCATAAAACTAGATAATACTGGTCCATATACCTAGATATTAAAAGAAATAACGTTACCGTAATCTTTCATTTTCAAAAAAAAGTCTCAAAAATGAAAAATCACACACAAAATATTTATCATTAATACCCCAGTAATCCCCTTTATATATATATATATGGATATATATATATATATATATATATATATATATATATATATATATATATATATATATATATATATATATATATATATATATATATATATATATATATATATATATATAAACCCCAGTAATCCCCTTTATATTATTCCAGGGTTCACCCCTGTAATCCCTCCTATATATATTTATAAAAGGAGATGAAAGAAGCCTTTCCTTGCTGTCAAAGGAAAACTACAGATTGAACGTATTAAACTTTTTATCCCCAAAATATAAGCTCTAAAACTAATCTTCAAATCTTTTAGACTTCTCTATCTGACAACAAAAGTTTTCCAAAGCCTTGCCTCTCATCAAAAGAATGGGAAATTTTAAATTTTAAATAAAAATTACCACCAGTTGCTTCTAATCCTGTCAATAAAATAATAAACTTTTGAACTCATGCTTTTAATCCTTCTCCAAAAAAAGCTACTTTTCGCGAATTGTTCTGTATAAATTGGTTGATTTCAGAAATAATAAATGCCAACGTTTACTTGCTATATTGTTATATTCCGACCTGGCAAAAAGCCTCCCTTTCTGGGCCACTAAGCTACACAGATTGATATCTATACAGGAAACATTTGAATTCATGGAATAATCCATTATCTTTGTAAAAAGGATTAAATCATAGTTTGCAAAACGATTTAGAAGAATTAATACAAAAAAAAACAATAATATTAAAATCATCCGAAATACTGACCTCTCAAACTTATCGTCTAGAAGGCTTAGTTCTTTATTTCTTCTGATGATAGAACTTGACATACTGTAGTTAGTAAATCTAGTTTTAGTTTCTTCATCATCAAAACCAACCAACTCAGGGACCTAGATTATACTATAGTTAGTTAGTTAGTTAGTAAACCTAGATAATACTATAGTTAGTAAACCTAGATAATACTTCAGTTAGTAATCCTAAATAATACTACATTTAGTAAACCTAGATATTACTATAGTTAGTAAACCTAGATAATTATATATTTAGTAAACCTAGATAATACTATAGTTAGTAAACCTAGATAATACTATGGTTAGTAAACCTAGATAATACTTCAGTTAGTAAAACTAGATAATACTTCAGTTAGTAAACCTAGCTAATTCTATATTTAGTAAACCTAGATAATACTTTAGTTAATAAACCCAAATAATACTATATTTAGTAAACCTAGATAATACTATAGTTAGTAAACCTAGAAAATACTATAGTTAGTAAACCTAGATAATACTATATTTAGTAAACCTACAGGGTTGCCAAAATGTACGGATTGTACGGATTGTTTTTTAACCCTAAAATTGTACGGATTGTACAGATTGTACGGATTTGTTTTCAAATTGTACGGATTGTACGGATTTTTATCCTGGAAAATACACCGTTTTTTAATTTTCACTCATTTCAGCAAATTTTTCATGAAAATAAAAAAAATTCTCGTCAAAATGAAGTTTGTTTAACTTATTTTCTGCATTCTAAATAATATTAGATTGATTAATGTTTCAATTGACAATCAAAATTCATTCAAAATTTTCGAGATATGTCCAAGAAGCGTTTATTTGAGAATATGTTCCTTAAGTACTTATTTGATTGCTTATTCAAGAAGATGTTCCAGTATCCTGTAACCAGTATCCTGTACCCAGTATCCTGTACCCAGTATCCTGTACCCAGTATC